AATCAAACAAAAAAAAATTCGATTTTCATGTCATTCAACCTGAATGGGTCAAAAATGACCCATTCTGCATCCACGCAGTGAAAGAACTTTGCTCAAATCTAACCATACCATTGTTATATTGAGCACCTATATAGGTTATTTCCGTGGTTGACTCAACACTAACTCTGCTGGATTAGCACCTGGATTAGCCTGCTGGGTTAAACTTAACTGGGTTTTAGCTTCACCACTTTCAGCTGAAAATAAAATATCAATTTGTGAAAACATAAAAAGACTTGTTTCAGATGAAGCTTTGTCGATTCCACATTCGAAAACTTTGAGTGTTCACAAAAGACAAAGCAGTGTTGTATTGGAGAAACGAATCTATTACATTTCTTTTCCGTTAATGTAACTTAAAAAGGAGAAAATATGGACGTCCACACACTCTTCTATTGCTTAGAGCCTTCTACAGATTTTTTCTTCTGGTAGCCAGCTTTCAACGAATGTTTCAAATTTCAACGAAATTTTCATATCTACAGAACAAAAACACCTGGGCGACTAAAAACTTGGATTTATAGGCTTTCCAGTATGCTCTGCAAGATGAGACTACTCAGAAAAAAATCTAAGGTGGACATTGAGCATGACCTTTCGTGGCTTACGTGCAATGACTCTTAAGTGTCAATGCTTTTGGACTATGTCTGAATGACTTCTGAAATTCTCTTATGGTCGAATGAATGTGTATTTTGTCACTATAAAACTGTAAAAAACTTCTTTATGTGGTCTGTTTTCTTTTTGAAAGGAATATAAAAGATCTATATAGTACAGCACAGTAGAGGTTTTTGTGGATTATACAATGAACATATTTCCTATTAGAAAGCTTATTTCAATAGATGCTACTGTCATGTAGTAATCGATGAATCCGTAGGTTTTTCTGTAATTTCAAGGGAGATTCCTTAGAACGAAGAAGGTTTTCTCCTTAACATAATATTTTATCCAGACGATCAACAAGTTCTTCATTAGAATTTATTAAAAGACGATTGGAACAACAACAGACCGGTTGGGGTTCAGCCGAACCTTGTGACGCGATATAAGAAAGCTGGAAAATCGTCTGGAAAAAAATACACTGTAAGCCGTCTGCTTTCCATACTTGCTGAAGGACCTACTCATTGAAAACACGTGCAGGTAATTTTATGTAAATATTTCCGTTACCTTCTGATGTGTTACTTTTGTTGAAGTGTACGCTATATATAAAAAGTTAGATTTACGCATGTGTTCGGACAAATTACTTTACATTCCAATCAAGGCTATGAAGGGTGAGCCATAAATGGCTCTTTTATATGCCATATATGCCTGATTTTTGAATCATATTTATCCCATATTCATCTCATTTATTGTATCATAATGTAGTGATAATTATATCATATTTTTTATGGGATAAATATCGCCCTAGTATGACCTTCGTATGATACTATCGAAATCATTTCAAGATCGTTTATGAGCAGTTTTCAAACCATAAATGGAAAGGTCGAGAGGCGGCTTTGGCGGAAGCTGGTTTCTGTGTCACAAGCATATCATTATCGGACATAAACGACTCATTTTTGGATTACCTCTATGTTCTAAGGATGATTATAAAATGAGACAACAGCTTTTATATCATTTTATAGCCATAATTACATCATTTCAATGACATATAAATGCGTCATTTATGCCCCATGAAGATATAGATATGACATAAAAATGTTCAATCGCAGAATCCGTTTTTTTAACTGATATTATTTTTGATTTGGCTTAATACGTTGACCGTCCCGTTTTTGCTATTATTATTAATGTATAAACAAACTTTTTGAGATGATTAGCCACTTAAAAAAGAGAACGTTTCTCCTTAATACTCTGACGTAACTCGATGTGCACACGAACACCAGATTTTGAACTAACCATCTGTGTAACGAACAAATAGCGTTTCTCTTCCACTAATAAAATTCGAAAAAGGAAAGAAAAGAAAGACACTGTACTAAAAACTGTAAAGTGAGATAGGGAGAAATAGGTTTTTCCGTGTGCGGCTACCAGAGACTTGTTTTGCTTGTCTCGAAACTTGCTTTTTTAAACAATAATTAACCATACTCACAGTCATATTACTCAAAGACTAAAAGGGATCTTTTTCTAAAAAATAGACCAGCATAGTGTACAACGATTCAGTCCCGATTCGTCGACACTCACTCTCACACCGCCCCTCCCGCCTTTGAAATTCTTTGATGCATATTCTCTGAAGTGTCCGATTTGTCGACGAATCGGGACGATACCTGTACAACTCGTGCAAAAAGATGGAAATGGGTCTATTCTAATTAGTGTAATTTTAGTTCGCGAAGTTGATGCAATACGAAATAAGTTTACAGTGAGCACTCGCCTCCTTGAATATAAAAAAGATGAACATTTGATGAAAATATAAATTTGTTACTATCTGATTTTATTCTTGAAACAGAAAAATTTCTGCTCTTATAAAGATGTCTGTTAAAAAAAACGAACACATTGGAAGTACGCAGTGTGCATCCAGGCGGACATTAGGTGAAAAAATGAAAGTCGACTTCTCGACGATTCAAATAATGATTAATATACTTCAAGTGATGCTCTATTTGATGACACAACAAATTTTCTTACAAAATTTATGTATCGCAGGAAAACGGTTAATCAAAAATTAGCCTGAAATAGTAGTATAAGTGAAAAAAATGAAATTTTCACAGCAGTCAATGAAACTGTAATAAAAAACGACATATATTCTAAATCTGCATGACATCAGCTATAGATCAGTAAAAACAAAATTTTAAATTACACTTATAATAACTGAGAAAAAAATTAAAAAAACTTTTCTCAAGCGATTTTCCGAAGGGCTAAGTTTAGTAAAGTGAGCACGCGAAAGTTAGCGAAGGTCCAAACTTTCGTAGAATGTTCTTCTATATGCCCTGCATTTATGGTGAATGCGTAAAAATGCGCAAATGCTTCTGAAGCATACAGCGGGTTTTCTAAAAAATCTAAGTGTTTCAGGTATTTTCCATTTTTCTCGGTTCGGAAACGCTTTTATTCAACAAAAACCACATATTCGGAATCAGCGCGAAAAACTGCACCGAATGATGTGCGATTAGTAGGTTCTTTTAGCAAAAACTTGTTGGATCTAACGGAACGCTGGAGTCGTGACAATTTTGGCTAAGGATTTTGATATTTGCTATAGAAGCAGTCCGACAGTCTATACACACTTTTTTACAGGTTTTCAGATATACTCTTTCCAACAGCATGCTTTGCAAAGTTCCAGAGTACTTATATGTGGGTTTTCTAGAGAGCCGGTCTCCGGAGAACTCAGATGAAAGTCTCTTGGAATTTTGTGAAGTCAGCCATTGGAAAGAGCATATCTGAAAACCTATAAAAAGGTGTTTATCGACTTTCGGACTGCTTCTGTAGCAAATGTCCGCCTGGCCTATGGAAAAATGCAAACTGTGGAGTATATATGTGCCGATGTATGTATCAGCAATACAATCAAAGAAACCGAACTGTCGGGTATATGGAATACTACTTTCCAATGTGCTGTCTCATAATAAGTATGGAGTTACATAAAAGGACATGAGTACACTTGTGATATAAAGGAGAATTTTCTGCATGCGAAACGGATATAAATAAAATTTATCCTGTATTTTGTTTCAGCTCACTCTCTAACTGAGCCCTCAGTGAACAAGATAGCTTGCTTGCATCATGTTCCCGAAGAAAAAACCGGGTAAAACATGGTGAAAGTAGTCTGAGAAAACGTTACGAACCTTTGCAAGCCGCGGGATCCGGGTGCCTAAATCCAATTTGTCGAAATCAAGAGCTTTTCGGTAAAAATGAAGAGGTTTTTTCTAAAAAATCCGGTGGGAAATCCGAAGATTTTTTTTCGAAATCGGAAGAGAAACTGAGTATCGAGCAGTTTTTTCTTCGACAGGGAAAACAAAAAAAAATCCGATAACTTTTTTTGAAAATATTTTGATGGAACAGTATTGTCATTTCTTACAGATCGCAGTACGCATTGAGGAAGCAGATTTTGATCCAATGAAGTAGAAAGTTCACTAATCTCATCGTTTTGTGACGAGAACATTCGATCAGCATACAGCGGACTCTTTCAATGTACAATTATTTAGATTCTTGATCCAGAAATTCTCTTTATGAAAGTGATAATCTCTGTTTTAGAAAAGACGAAATCGATGCAGAAAAACAATTGAAAATCAGGAGAAAATCTTCAAAATCAGCTCCTGAAATCACAAGATTCTTCACGAGGACAAAAGTCTAAAAATAAGGAGTCTCCTGTTGACTTGGGCAATTGACATGGTTGATTTGGGCACTCTACCCGCGAAGAACGTTTATGGTTGATTGAGACTTATTTGAAGAACACTTCTTTACAGTTCTCATTCCTTTACCTTTTTATGAAGAATTGCAGTAATCAAGTTATTGGCTTAATCGCGCGTCATGTTTTACCCGATTTTCTCTTCGGGAACATGATGCAATCAAGAAAAATCATGTGCGCTTAGTTCGACATCAACCTTTTCATTCATTTCTCACTTCTGTGGATCTTTATTCTGAGATTTTCACACAATTAACATATTTAATTGAGCCAATACATCGGAAAACTGATGTAAAACCATATGTTAGTAAGATGAACCGTGTGAAACGTCTCAAGTATGCAAAAGAGATGTTAGGAAAGCCATTTGACTACTGGGATACTGTTGTCTGGTCAGACGAATCAAAGTTCAACTTATTTGGTTCAGATGGAAAGGTGATGGTGTGGAGAAGTCGGAAGGAAGAATTCGATCCTAAATGTACTCTACCAACAGTCAAGTATGAAGGCGGCTCTGTGATGGTATGGGACTGTTTTACGAAGAAAGGAGTTGGGAAGTTGTACATTTTGGATCGTATCATGGACCGCTTTTATTATCGGGAAATACTGGAGAAGAATCTGATACCATCCATACGACAACTGAGCCTTGGAACGAATCTCACGTTTGTGCATGATAACGATCCTAAGCATACCTCGGCATTGGATGAGAAATAATGGGGTTAGAGTTTTGCAATGGCCATCTTCATCTCTGGATTTAAATCCCATTGAACGTTTGTGGGACGTATTGGAAGATCGTGTCAAGAAACGTCAGCCAAAAAGCAAGACAGAGTTGGCGTTGCATCTGGTAGAGGAATGGAACAAGACTGAACTACCAGTCTTAGCAAAGTTAGTTGGATCGGTTCCCAGTAGATTGAATGAATGTATCAAAATGAAAGGCTATTCAACTCGTTACTAGACTCTTGGACATTTGTACTTACGTTGTAGAAAAAGATGTTTTCCATTGGTGGGTGAATAATTTTGACGCGTTGAAAATTAGACAGCTGAATATATCTCATGAAATAAAATACTAGTACGAGGGAGTGAAATCTATGGCACACGTGGATGTTGATTAGCCACTATGAACTATCGAATGACACTGACGGTAGACTTCTATCGTTGGTCTTTCCCAGTGGTGAGTCAGAGAATGCTAGGTTACAGGGGTGGGTGAATAATTTTGGCGGCCACTGTATATACGCGAGTACAATGGAAAAGAAAAAGAAGTATAGGACGTCCGACAAATAGTAAAAGAGAGAGAAATAGTAGTATAACACTTGTTATTTTCTGAAAAAAGAAAAATATCGGACAACGGCTAGTTGCAACGGACGCTACTAGCTTATTTTTCATGCTTCGGTACATAACGATTACTTTTTACTACTTCACAAAACCACGGCTTGTGCTTTTGTCTAAGTGGTTTCAAATGGAAATGACTGTTTTGTAGGCAAATGTTCACTCTATAACCTAGTATATGATGGATATTTATCAGATCTTTCATTTTCATTCTTCGCACGTTTTAGTACAAAGTTTTAACTACGTTAACTAGTTATAAAGTAATTTAAAAATGTTGCCTCCGAAATTTTATTTTAAGTGGTTTCAATTTAATAATTTTAAGTAATTCAACTCTGTCTTCTATATGGGGGAAGGAGAGCAGACGGATAATCCAATATATTAATATAATTTTGTTACTACGCGATTTCTCAAGGATAAAAAACACATTCATAGGAAACTATTTTTCTTTTCTGTTATTTATTATAAACAATGATTTTTCTTTTCTTTATTGCACTTACCGTTTCTACGTATTTGATGGCTTTTTACAATGTATAATATAAACAGCGCAAAATCAAAACAGCATGTTTCATCTTTTGTAACTTGTCTGACATTCAGTCTTACCTTGAAACAATGAAAATGTTTTGATCATCAACAGCAAGTACATGAGAAAAACACAAAAACAATGATTTTGATCAGAGGCTGTGCTCCTTTTAACACATACTCACCTGGATTTTTTACCTGTACTTAACTAACTATTGCAGACGAATAATAGTCAGTTAGACTATTATCTAAGAAAGGTAACGATGAAAAAACAAAAAGCTCTAAAATATTGATAAGAAATGTAAATAGTTAGTAATTTTATATATAATTTAGTGGTTTACGACTAAACGGTTAATCAAATACGATATAAAACTGGTCTAATCTGGATCAATTTAAAATCTAGGACGAGTGAAAATGTAATTTTTTATGAAGTATCACAACAATCTAATGTACTATGCCTCACGTACTTTTATTGTGCAGGTAAAGATAGGTAACAAATAAATCATAAAGAATAAATCAGGTAGTCTTTTTTCATTGTCTAGACATGATTTATTTTTAAGTTGCGTATAATAGAGAAAGTCGTCGGATAAATGCCGTTAATTGCTATGTGTTGCACGAACATATCAATAAATTCAGGGTAAGTAGATGTGTTTAATCCAGAAATAAAACTGAGTAAGAAGAATAGATATACAATCACTGTAAGACTTTATCAATGCAACACTAATAAAGAGTATTAAGACACTTAAGAAAAAAGACAACGGCATTTCAAAAATCATGAAATTAAACTTTAAATATGTAAATATACAAAAGAAATCCTTCCTACACCAAATTACATTTCCTAAAAGAAATCTGCTCTTTTTTGTAGCCTATGTGGCGCCTCCGTCTTAGATTATAAGTAGAGTTTGTATCTGGTCTACTCAGAGTCAACTTTTCCTGAGTCTTTTTCTATCCATGATTCCACAATTGTTAGCCATCGACTGACCACTTGCATTCTATTATTGAAGCTGTGGTTAGTCAATGAATAAATCGTCTCTAAACATCGTTCGTCTCTAAACATCGCCTTCTCCACATATCTGGCGCATTGTGAAATATTACAGGGTATCTGGAATCAATCACACATTCATCACCTAAGGCATACTGTTCACCTAAAACAGAGTTTAACTTAAACTCGTAAATAGAAGTCGTGAATTCGCATTTTATTTTATAGGAAGTTTTCTATGAAGTTACATAAAAGTAGGTAGATTCGTGTCTTCGCATCAATTCGCATACTTCATTAGCGCAAAACCGACTTTTTATACGGGGAACAGAATCGGTCCAAATTTTTTTTCTGAAGAGCTTATTATCTGAATCGACAGGCAGCAAAGTATCTCTTGATTCAAATCACTTTTCACATTTTGGCGCGAATAGTAGCCCGTTTTAAGTGGCGCCACTATTCGCGCCAAAATGTGAAAAGTGATTTGAATCAAGAGATACTTTGCTGCCTGTCGATTCAGATAATAAGCTCTTCAGAAAAAAAATTTGGACCGATTCTGTTCCCCGTATAAAAAGTCGATTTTGCGCTAATGCATTTTTACGAATTCGTAAAATGCGTATTGATATCAAAGACAAGAAATTTTGCGAGGATGGCTGTGCGTGTTTACACAACAAGCCAAACGTGTTTCGCTGTATTTCAGTTGACATCAATTCGTATTTTATGAATTCGTAAGAATAACGATGAATTGATATAAGAAGTATCCATTTTCAACCGCTGGATCAGTTCGTAATACGAATTCGCTAATTCGTATTTATGAATTAATCTAGTTCTAAAAGCAGTGAACACGAATTCTAAAACTAATTTTATGAATTATTGCGAACTTTTCTTAAAATTTATGAAAAGTTTTGTTTTCAGATACAGAAAAAGGAAATTGTAGTTCGAAAAAGCTATTTTTCAGCTCGCGCGGACTGTACCCAAACTTTCAAGACCATGGACTGATGGAGAGTTGAAAAAAAATTTTACTTTTTTATTGTAACTTTGGATTCACTTGAATAGAAGAAAAATCAGTACAAAATATGTTATTTTTGTATTGTGAACTGGACTACTTTTTTAGTGTCCATGGACTTGATTGGACTAAACAAGATGTTCAGTGAGCATATTATTATGTAGTAAAACTATCTTGATTAATTTTCTAACTTGTTCACTTTATTTAGTAACAAATTACCATGTTATACATTCGCAAAAATACAGCTATATATACATATCTTCGAAAGTCCGAGAAAGATTAGAAAAGGATGTAATGACGTCAGAAGGACTGGTCAGAACATGACATCTTTAAGTCATGACGTACAAAGAAGAATAGGAAAGAATATGTCATTTACTACTGACCGGACTAATGACATCAGTAGAACAGGACGTAGCATGACGTCACAAGAATAAACATATAATCTCCATACGCCATCATATAATAACATGTGATGTGAAAAAGTTCGAATACAGTAAAGTATCTCGCGTAAGAAAAGAACTATTACTTAACACCTCCTAACAATATACAAAGAGAGTGTTTGAATAACCACGTCTGAGTGAGATGAATTAGGTTGGAAGAAAGGCTTAATAAGAAATCAACGAAAAGAGAAGCCATTATTCGTTACGCAGTGAACAGGGATAGAATGAACACATACACATAAAAGGAACAAGACAAATGATGCCTAGTAGGCGCGTCGGCGAAAGAAAATGTCGTACTTCATCATGGAGGAAGAAAGAACTTACACTTCTTTCGCTTCGCATTACATTACTTCAGAGTTTCACATGTTTACATTCGGAGCTAGAGATCCTCACGGGCCGAAAATTTTGGCCCGATCCGATTATGAAAGTTTCAGGACCAAGCCTGGCTCGACCCGACCAAACGTGGAATTTACCGCGCCCGGTCAGACCAATCATGAAACTTTTCTGGCCCAGCACGATCCGACGACTTTTTAGAATTCTCAGGTCTTAGGAGTGATTTTTTCTTGCATCTGTAGTACTTTTGTTGGCTAAGTGGTGTAAATGTATTTCTCAAGCTAATATTTATATCTCTATCATTTCTTGGTTTTCAGTTTTTAACCTTTAAAGGCATTAGCTAAACGAAGTCATTAAGATGTCGCGTAACAGCGATAGTACTCTTTCTCGGTACTGAGTACACACATAAATTACAAATCGACGCATGCTTAAAAGTTATGAGTTCGGCCCGGTGCGACCAGACCAAAATACTCTGCGGCTCAAGCACGGCTCGCGCTGATCTCTGTTCAGAACTATTTCTAAGAGCCCGAATGAAGATCAGTGTGACACACCACGTTCCTAATAGAATAATCGTATTAGAAACAATGGCGTTATTGTCTTTTTAGATGGCAGAAAATGTGGAAATCGATTACTACTCGAAAGTGAGGCCTTATTGGGACAATGATCGAGACATCGGTACATTCTCTGATCATTTAACCGTATGGTTAGACCTGTTTATCGGTCGACCAGAGGAAAGCATTAGGCTAAAAGCAATATTTCAACGTTTCATTCAACCATTGAACACGTTGGACCAAGAAGAGGAGGCATATGACAATCCGATGACTTTACTTGAAGATCCCAGAATCCTCGAAGAATTAAAAGATCGTGTTTATTGTTTAAAACCATTTTTCGAAGTTGATGCCTGTCTCGCATTCATTCGCGAAAATGATGGTAAGAAAATTTTCTTCATTGCATCAGGCACTATGGGAGAAAAGATTGTGCCACAAATTGCTGATTTACCACAGATTCATGGCATATACATATTTTGCGGCAACATCTCGTATCACGCACAAGGCTGGGCAGGCAACTATGTCGAACATATATCGGCAATGCTAGATCATCAAGACAATTTGTTAATACGAATGACGAAAGACATTAGCGCGTATCTAGAGGACAAGGGCGATCATTATATGAAACTATTGGAAACTTTTAAAGCGAAAACTTGTTATGCATGGGGAATTAAACTATCAATGCGTCAAGAAAAATGGGGTGGTAGGTGCTATCAAGAACCGCGTGCTCGTTTGATGAACAAGTTCATTATAGCAGATACAAGTTATGAAGATGATCACCCTTAAAGTATTTTATGTTATATATATGTAGCGTCTAAGTTAGCCTATTCGTCTATAACCTAGGCAAATACATCTTGCGCACTTAACGTTGCTAAGCCTCATGTTTTAATTATTTGATGAAAACTAAAATAAATATTCTAAACACGGTTTTAAGTGCGTATTTTGGAAAATCTACTGTAGTATATAATCTACTATAGTCTCAAGTGACTAGAATACTTTGGATGATTGGAGTAATCTTTTGCACACATACATACACCAATAGCAGATCTCATAGTGCCCAAGGGTGTGATTAACATTCAGACAATTAGATTGCAAAACATGTGCAAGCCTTTTCTATTAAGGAAAATAATCCATATTAACCTCTTGTAGTGCTCTGATGCTGCATCGTTTCAGATCTGTTAACCCTGTTACTTGATCTAGTATTCTGCGCACCTTTGCGATGGCATTTCATTGTTTCTTTATCATGCAGATGAGCATGATTATGATGGCCAGGGTTATGTGACTAACCGTGTCTATGATCTTGTGAATGTGAATGGTTACGTCTATCGTCATGCATATAACTGTAACCACGGTAATTCCCAGCGCTCTTCTTTCAATCTTTCGCTTTATGGTACAAAGCTCCATGAGAATGACTGTGATTTAGCAGTGCAATACGAATGGCCATGAAAACCTCGAAATCGTAACATTGCGATAATATTGATCTCTAACCATGCAGCCGACAATCAACTACATGTTATCATTTCTGATCGGCTCCAAAATGACGAAACGTAGCATCGCACAGAATAGGTAGTGATAGTGCGAGTAGAAATACAGTATTTATATTCGCGCCAACACCCTCAGCTCATACCCAATCGTAGGTATTAATATTCGAACTTTTTTGGTAATCGTACTGAAGAGGCCAACGAATAACGAAAGTATATCGACTTAAATGTGAAAAGGGTTGACAAGGACTGAAAGAGGATCGATGACGTAATCGACAATATTTTCAACAAAAAAAAGGCGCTAGATATAACATGACGCAGAGGCGAAATGTATTTGTCAGATACCATGACAATACTATGCAAAGACGACTTCATGAAACAAATCATGTCGGCGTAAAGGCCTACTACGATTGTATATATTTATATGGGGACAAAGACACAGCGGATTATAAGCACCATGACCACTGATCCCATACTGTATTAGAGCAAATTATTCAATACAATTTTCAGTATCTCAGCGCATAATGAATGATTCACACACGTTTGCACATCTACATCAACAAAATGTGACGAATGGCAACGGTCAGTTGAACAATATGAACCATTCCTTGAGTATCAGGATGAAAATCTGCTTACGGCATAACTTTATAGCTGCACATCTCCTTGGTTTCGACGCTGTTATCAATATACATATAATTCAATAGAAAGATTTGCGTAAACAGTGGCGACACGATTTAACATGAGAGAGCCACTAGATATGGTTGGTATAATTAGCATTGCTCGGGAAGAAACAAGCTATACATATTTAAAATGCAATTGTACGATTCCATTACATTGTGAAAGACGCGATGGTTAGTATGCTGATTGTACTTCTCCTGTAGTACCCCATTTTCTAACTTCCCAGGACATTGAAAACCACCAAGTTAATTGCCAGTTAACTGTCAGTTAACTGACAATTAATGAGCAGTTTACTGCCTGTTTTTAGGCCGGTCAGACCGTTTTTAGGTGGTGTTATGATGGTTTGGATGGTATGGTTTTACCACCTGAAATAGGTGGTTTTT